CTTTTCCCAGACTCTCAGTGTGCGCCCTCCCTATTCCACCATCTTGGATGAAGCCCAAGAAGGGCTATTGACACAATAAATTTCAACATACTTGTCTCCTGAGGTCACTTAATTCCTTCTTCAATTTCTAGATTTCAGTTTTTGAGTTCATACAACAATTTCTTACATCATCCAGTGAAACCTAGGATACAAATTTTTAGCAATTTTTTATTTAAAAGACTTACATATTTTGTTTTTTATTTAATAAATGTGAATTTATTTAATTTTTTTTTTTGGTAGCTTGAGTGGTCACCTGTCAGGGCTTTGAGGTGCCAATCTCCGCCCCTTGGGGGCTGGTTTCCTTCAGAGATTATGGAAATTTTCTTGTTATCTTTTTGATCCTGTGTATCACAACGTGGATCTGGACTTGTGGTGTCCAGGGAAGCAAGCAGGGGAGCCTGGGGCGAGGGCTTCCCACACTGGGCCCCGCTGCCCACCCTCCAGTACCTGTTCTTGTGCTTCACGACATCTACACAGCTTCTTCTGCAATCCAGGACTTTCGACACTGTGGCCACATTGCCCGCACTGGCAACTCTGTGAATGGCACCAAGCTCCCAGCAGAGCAGGCAGTATCCAAAATGCGGCCCCATCTTCAAGCGCTTGTTCTCAAACTCGCTAACAGTCCTGGTGCACTTATGAGTCACCCATGAGAAAAGTTTCCCCATAATCAAAGCTATCAGGGGCTTTCAGCCACCTCTGCAGCACAATATAAAGAAATCTGGCAGTCTGGCCACCATATAAAAGAGGAGCTTCGCGGTTTCCAACCTCTCGGTTCACAATGTCACCGAACAACTGCCGCCCATGCTTAGCACCAGGCTAAGCCCCGCCCCTTCTGCTCCCGGACATTCCTTCCTCTTCCTCCAGGCTCCACCCAGAAGCCCCTACACCTCTGAGCCGGCCCCTGCACTCACTCTGGTTGGCTGTGAACCCGAACTCTGGGCCATGGGCTGTGCCCCAGTGCCGGCTGTGCTGCTTGTGCCACTTTCTCCTGCAGCCTGGACTCAGCAGAACTAGGCAGTGGGAGGGCCAGGAAGTGGGAAGGAGGGCGCCCCCCAGGAAGCATGGCTGCCCCCTCCCAGCAGGGCAGCCCCACAGCTTTCCCCTGGGCTCAGGAGATAGTGGGCTGTGTCTCCAGGTGGCTTGGGCCCTGGTGAGGTGCGACCCATGGGCCACATGTGCCCCTCTCCCCTGGGCTCAGGCACATGGTTGCGGGGAGGTGACAGGTAGGGGGCGGCCTCGACCTGCTGCTGGCCCCTCCACTGGCTTCTGGGGCTGGCGTGCTCAGCCACCAGTAAACAAGTGGTGAGCCGGCAGCAGGGGAGACACTGACCACCACGGACGCCATCGCTTCCCTCTGGCACTGCCCCTCACCTCCCCACCCCCGTCAGCCCCAGTTGGGGCATTTCTGTGGCACCCAGATGCCTCCCTCTCTGGGCTCAGGTCGCTGCTCCAGGCAGTCCAATTCTAGCAGGGTGCAGCACGTGTTTTGGGGAAGGGGCTTCTCCTGGGGAGCCAGCAGATGGTTTCTTCTGAGAGGTGGATTCTTGCAGATGCCTAGTTCTGCCCAGTGAGACCCAGGCCCACTGCTTTATTCTGGGGGGCAGACAAGGAGGCAGACAGAGCCAGAGGACCTGCAGGGGCTCCTCCCACCCCGTCTGTCACGCCTCCCCCTAAGCCCAGGCTGAGGTCAGAGTCTGCCCCGTCCTCACTATGGGAGCTCATGGGTCCTAGGCGGTGGTGCTGAAGCTGCCAGGCTATGCATGCTCTCCAGTGCCAGATCTCCTGCCCTTTGGCCTCCGCAGTGTGGCAGCCATGCCAGCAGGAACTGCACTTCCCTCAGCCCTCTTGGTCCAGTGGAGACTCTGCTTCCTTGTGCCTCAGACATGTGAGGGACATGGAGCAGCCAGATGTCCCTGGCTGCTGGCCAGCTGAGGGACTTGCACAGTATCTCAGCTCTGGGGAGTAAAACAACTGCCCCAGGTATCAGTGCCCAGGTACCCTGGGCCTGGAAAGAGGGGCTTGAAAGCCCGGAGGAGCCCCTGGCTGCCTAGGGAGCAGCAGAGGCTGCGCCTGCACAGATTTCCCCTCCTTCCTGTCCCTCCCTCATGGCTGGACTGTGCCGAGTTTTGAGAGGACCTGGAACTGTTCCTGTGGCTCTGCTGGGTAGGGCGTGCCAGGCCCAGGGCTGTGTCTGCTGAGCCCACCCCAGCCTTTGGCTCCACTGGTATCAGGAGGGAAGCAGCTGCCAGGTGTCGGGGGGGTGGGTGGTGACACTAGGCCAGGTGTTTCTGGAGCTGGCTGACACCTGGACATTTTTGGCTGGGTCATATAACCTGAGCTATCCCAGGGCCCTGGCATGCAGTCTCTTTCTGGATCCTTTGTTTTCCTACCTTCCTGACAGCTGCTGATGGGTCTCTGTGGGCTGTGCTCTCTCCTTAGTGCTAGTTTTGCAATGGAGATCTTTTGGGAAAATCACTTCGGTCAGACCTGCTTGGTAAAGTAATCCCAACAGAGTTTCTTTCCTGCTGCTTCACTGCTCGACTGCCCACAACTGCTGGGGCTGGGCCGGGCCAAAGCTAGGAGCCGGGAACTCAATCCAAGCCTCCCACACTGGAGGAAGGGAACCCGATGACTGAGTCAACACCTACTGCCTCCGTGTGTGCATAAATACTGGCCGTAAATACCTCTCAGTCTGTCCTTCCCATGCGTCTGCAATGGTATCAATATTGAAACTTAAATCTTGGGCAGTTTTTATAAAACGTCTTCATTCGATGCAGCTTGTGCTCCCAAATATGAGAAACTGCTTCTATATATGTCAGTCTTGAAAAATGTATTTCCAATAGTCTAAAAATTAAGTTAGATGATCCATACCTCATTTTCTTTACTGGAAAGCAGCTTTTCAGCCGTTATATTTTCTCCATAAGCCACATAGTGGAGGGCAGTGTTGCCAATTCCATCCTCAATATTTGGATCAGCACCATGATCCAGTAAGAGTGTAGCACAGTTCTCAGCGGGACACTGTACAGCCTGCCAGTAGTACACCAATCACAAATTGTAACTTCTAGGAATTCAAAGAAAAACTCCCCATCCCAGTGGTTTCACCAGGTAGTCATATATAAATAAGATAAATTCATTTTTATTCTAAGTATGTAAACCAAGCCCTTCCTATACTGGATGGTTGGGCCCTCTATACCTTTATCAGTGGTGTTGCAGCCCTTTTATCTGGAGGATCAATGAGACATCTTCTGCTTATGAGCAAAGCTACCACGTCTCGGTGGCCTTTTGCACAGGCCCAGTGCAGAGCGTTCCTATAGGAAATTATATTGCACAATCACTTCAAACTGGCGGCAGCCATTTCATGTCTTCTGTCTCCTTTAACCTTTATCAAATGTCCAGTTGGTTGGATGAGGTCCCTGTCGCAGCTTGTACCATTTTAATAAAAACTTTGCTTCTGCATTTTGGTGTGATCCGGTCACTGTTAGCTTCTTGGGCATCTACGTATCTGAGCATAACAGTTGCGGGGAGGTGACAGGCGGGGGGGCGGCCTCGACCTGCTGCTGGCCCCTCCACTGGCTTCTGGGGCTGGCACACTCAGCCACAGGTAAAGAAGTGGTAAGCTGGCAGCAGGGGAGACGCTGACCACCACGGACACCATCGCTTCCCTCTGGCACCGCCCCTCACCTCCCCACCCCTGTCAGCCCCACTTGGGGCATTTCTGTGGCACCCAGGTGCCTCCCTCTCTGGGCTCGTTCCAGGTAGTCCGATTCTAGCAGGGTGCAGCACGTGTTTTGGGGAAGGGGCTCCTCCCAGATGGTTTCTTCTGAGAGGTGGACTCTGGCGGTTGCCTGGTTCTGCCCAGTCTGAGACCCAGGCCCTCTGCTTTATTCTGGAGAGGCCAGACAGGTCAGCAGACAGGCCTGGCCCAGTCATGTGCCTCCTCCCTGCAGGCCACTGTGGCCCTGGTCCCCAGCAATGTGGGAAGAGGGTCCCGAGTGAGACTATCAGGGACACTCGGACTGCGGCCCTCCCTGTCTGGGGGCTGCAGGGAATGGAGGGAGCTTGGAGGCCAGTTCTTGCACTGTGTGTTGGGGGAGAGGCGGCTGGACCCAGGCATTTCCTGGGGGCTGGGTGGCCAGGGGGTGGGAGGAGGTGTCCATCTGGTGCCTGCCCTGGTGTGTGAGCTGTGTCTGGCTGCTCTGTGCAGGGTGCCAGGGGCATGTGTGCATCTCTAGGAAGCCTGCGGAGGCAGGGGCACCCCGATCACAGAGCTCTTCCTGGCCACACAGAGCAGTTGCTCACCTGAAAATGGTGTCCATGGAGGAGTGGATGCAGCCTTCTGGGTTGCTGGGAAGGTTGTTGATGGAGGGGCAGGAGTGTGTCTGGGGGAGGTAAGCGGGGACTGGGTTCGGGACCCACCACGTGTCCCCCTCTGGTTTCAGAATTTGTACTGTGGCAGGCTCAGGACTCCTTTCCCACAATCCCAGCCCCAAAGAGCAAGGGAATGGCCCCCCCACAGGGGTGTGTGTATGGGTCAGAGGTCAGATGTCAGGGTGCTGATGACCCCTCCTGGGGCCCCATTATTTCTGGGCTGGTGTTGAGCAACCATGGAGATGGCCCAGGCTCCTCCAGACAAAGGGAACCTGGGGACAAGGGTCGCACTGGCTGTCACCCTGAGCAAAACAACTTTCCCAGGTATCAGTGTCCAGGTACTCTGGACCTGGAAGGAGCGGCTTGAAAGCCTGGAGGAGCCCCTGGTTGCCTAGGGAGCAGTAGAGGCTGCGCCTGCACAGATTTCCCCTCCTTCCTGTCCCTCCCTCATGGCTGGACTGTGCCAAGTTTTGAGAGGACCTAGAACTGTTCCTGTGGCTCTGCTGGATAGGGCGTGCCAGGCCCAGGGCTGTGTCTACTGAGCCCACCCCCAGCCTTTGGCTCCACTGGTATCAGGAGGGAACAGCTGCCAGGTGTCATGGGGGGTGGGTGGTGACCCCTGGGCCAGGTGTTTCTGGAGCTGGCTGACACCTGGGCATTTTTGGCTGGGTCATATAAGCTGAGCTATCCCAGAGCCCTGGTGTGCAGTGTCTTTCTGGATCCTTTGTTTTCCTACCTTCCTGACAGGTGCTGATGGGTCTCTGTGGGCCATGCTCTCTCCTTAGTGCTAGTTTTAGTAAGCATGAAGGCCAGGGAGCCAGCTTTAGGGTTTACCAGAGAGAGCCAGGACGTGCTAGGGTGTGTACTGGGCCCCAGAGGCTGAGACTGTTACGGGCATGGGCTGGCCCAACAGTGGGATGCCACACCACCTGGAGGGGCCTCTAGCAGGGGGCATCTGGTCTCTCCTTCTGCCCTCTTCCCAACAGCTTACATGAAGCCATGTCTCAGCCAAGTCCTCCTCCTAGACCTCCCTCATCACTGCATGGTGTCCTAACCTCTGCAATAGGTCAGCCCAGCACCCAGGATACTGGCTGTGATACAGTGAGCTGGTAGCTGGGTCCCAGCCAGCTCTTCTCTGGGTTGAGCCATGGTCAGCAGGACAATGACCAGAGAGTGCTTGGATGGGGAACAGAGGGCTGTGTAGCGTCTCCCAGCTCAAACTTTGGGTCTAGGGCTGCCTCTGGATGCAGAACAAGGGGGTGCCTGCAGGGCTGGGCGGGTGGAGTCCAGAGCCTGTCCTGCAGGCTCTGCCCTCCCTTCCATCCCATCGCTGCCCTCCTTGCCCTTGGAGGTTCCATCTGTCCTTCTGGTGCCAGCTGCAGCACAGGAACTGTGGGCAAGCGTTGGATGCACCCCATCCTTGCCACAGATGTGTGGTGGTGGGCCCTGTGTGCACTGAACTCGGTGTCTTCATGTCTGTATGCCTGGGAGGTTCTGAGCCAGCATGCTCTGCATCTAGTCACCCCCTGGCCACCAGAGGGCAGCACACACAGGAGTCCTTGCAAGTGGCCTCCCTGGGCTGACCAGGGTTGCACCCAGCTGGCCCTGCTTCCTGTGTCTCTGCTGTCAGCCCTGTGAGACTCCTGGACTGGGCTTCATGGAGGTGACTGGAGTGGCCTCCTTCCAACCCGCATCATTGGCAGTGGGAGGCCACGGCACCTTTGCATACGGGCAGTGGGGATAGTGAATGATAGAGTTCCTACCCAGGAAGATCTCAGGTCAGACAGGGTCCCAGGAGAAGTACACAGAGGGCTGGGTCAGGATGAGGTAAGCTCCCTGCACCCTCAGGCTGTGTCACGGCCACACAAGCCTGAAGTGTCTCTTCCTGTGCCCTAATCCAGGCTTGGGAATTCCCAGACACGCAGGAGCACAAGCAAACATGGCACTGACTGGAGGCAGGAGCTTGGTGCCCTCTCCTCACCTGCCGCCTGGACCCTCTGTCTGCTCTCAGAGCTGACCCTGAGAGGGTGGGCATCACGGTGCCTTGCAGACCAGAGGTGGGGCCTTCCATGTCAGCTGTGGGCCGTCTAGCGCTGAGCAGATGTTGTCCTGGTTGCTGCACTGGTCCATCCGCAAAGGGAGCAGTCTCAAGTCAATCATAGTTTCTAGGGATGCCCTTCTGCTTCTTTAGGGGTTGCTTAGACAGGGCTGGGGTTTGAGCAGGGCAGCAGGCTGGGCTCTCTGCTGTGCTCTGTCCATTCACCTCATTGCTGATGGCTTCTCTGGGCTGGACAGAAGAAGGACGCTGAAGTTTGTGAACCAGCCAGGCCAGAGGTCTTCTGAATAAAAGTCAACAGCAGCAGAAGCCTCAGGTCACGGTGCCTGCTGTAGCCCTGGGCTACTGAACTTTAGTGCTCCTCAGCGTTCTCATCTGAGAAGTGGTGGTGACGAAACTTTCTCCCAGGAATGGACGTGTAAGCAAGAAGACAGAATGCGTGCACATAGGGTCTGGCATATCTCTCTCTCTCTCTCTCTCTCTCTCTCTCTCTCTCTCTCTCTCTCTGTTCCTCTCTGTCACTCTCTCTTTGAAATAACTAATTTTTAAGGCCCGGAGTAGAAACTGTATGATGTAAGGTATTTTTCCACCTCTCTCAATGAAAGATGCTGAAGCAGACAGAGATGGGGATGCCGGCGAGTTCCATCTGGACTCCCACAGGAGTCACCCCTGCCTGGAAAGCCCAGGGAATTTTTGGAGCTGGAGAAAAAGATGTGCTTGCTCCAGTTTGCAATTTCAAAATGAGGAAGGGAAGAACTTGCAAAGAGGAAGTGCTTACAGCCCCACCACCACCACCCCCCTGGGAGGGCGGAAGGGTTCATCTGAGACCTCTAAGTGTGCTGCCCGTTAAGGGTATATCTAGGGCAAAGGCCAGGGCTCCTCCCGAAAGGGACAGGAAGTGCACGCCAGCGCAGTGCCTCCCTGGGCTTGGGTCCGAGCGCGGGCCCTTCTTCCTCCACCTGGACCTCAACAGGACAGGACAAAAATGGAGAAGCCCGGAGCTTCCGAGGGCTTACCCAGGCAGTACCCAGTGGATACAGAAGTCTGTGATCTCTCTCACAGAGAGGCTAAGGGACGAGTAAACGAGAGCATCAGTGGAGTGGTGACAGACAGGGAGCACACATCCACACAGGCCTGCACAGCCAGCCCCACAACAAGTCCAGGTCCAAACAGGTCCCCCCACTCCCTGGTGTCAGAACTCCATCCTCCTTGGAAGGCAAAAAAACACAAGCAGGATGCAGCATGCCACCAACCCCCATTGAATGTGTCAACCGTGTTTGGTCCAAAGAGGGGGAGAGGTAGGCAGGATAGGAGAGCTGCTACCCTGTTTGAAGCGTGGCCAGGAGGGAGGGGGACCTATGTGAGATGCAAAAGGGAGAGTCCTGAATTTTCTAGAAAAGAGACCTTCCCAAAAAGGACAAGGGACAGTGTTGCGGTGCTGGGCACATCTTAACAGAAGCTGGCGTGGGTTGTGATGTTTGCCAGGGCCCCCTTTATCCACAGCTGGAAACACAACCAGGAGTTCTGTCCAGGGCCAGCTTGCAGGTGACGAAACTGGCACTTGAGAGGTTAAAGAATCTGCCTCAAGTTGCCCAGAAATGACCAGAGATCACATAAGCGGTTTCTTGTGCCACATTTCTAGGAGCCCTGAGTGAAACGCATGCAGGTCTAAAACCTGATTGTTTCCCGAGTTTCTGGTGGCATCGGGTGGACGGACGTCTCTCCCAAAACCCAGCCACAAAAGGAGATGGAGCTGATATAGGCAGGCGGATAGGACTGAATGCATTAGATTTGTGAGCTGGAGACCATGCTTTCCCCTGCCCCTACCTGACCTCACCTGTATGCCCACCTGCCAATCAGACTCCGTAGCCACTCCCTTTTGGAAGTGAATAAAAAGCCTGGAGCATGGTGAGCCCTCCCCTCCCGACGTCCGGCCTTCTGGGTCCCACTCTCTGTGTTCCTGCCCAGGCTACGCGCCCTGTGCAAGCCCCTGCCTGCATGCTTGCTCCACATGGCTCCCGGCCTGCTCTCTGCCTGCTGTGGACTCAGGATCAGTTTCTAGACTTCTTTCTCCTCTAAATAAAGCCCTCACTTTCCTGTATATTTCTTTCACTGAATAAATGCTAAAAACTGTACCATGTTGCCTGTTTCATTTATAAGCAGCCGATATTTAGAATTCTTATGTAAATACACAGTAAGAACCCTCAACATTTTGAGTAAAGGGGCCTGATTTCAGAATGAAAGGGCCCGTTAGTAATCTGAGAACTTGAACTTGTGGTATTGATGCTATCAGGTCAGTTCAACTCAGTACAAAGCTGTTTCCTAGACTAAGGGGTTCTGTGTTTTCAGTTCTGTGTCTTTGTCTTTATTTCCTGTCTAAATAGGCTCTAGGGACCCCAGGAGCTCTCAAGATGATGTTGGGGTGGTGGTGAGGTCAAAGCTATGTTCATGCAAATATAAATCAATTGTTTGCCTTTTTCTCACACCCTTGTCCCTCTCTGGGCCTCCAGAGAGGCAGATGGGAGAATCCAGCTGTCTTCTGTGAAGCCAGGCTTTAAAGAGATTTTCTTTCCTGCAAGAATTTTTTTTTTTTTTGGTTTGGAAAACCATTAAAACTTATTTCTGCTAAGATGGAATTGTTTTATTATTTTCTTTTTAAGATTTATTTATTTATTTGAAAGTTAGAATTACACAGAGAGAAGAAGAGGGAGAGAGAGAGAGAGGCCTTCCATCCGATGGTTCACTCCCCAACTGGCTACAACAGCTGGAGCTGCACCGATCTGAAACCAGGAGCCAGGAGCTTCTTCCGGGTCTCCCACGCAGGTGCAGGGACCCAAGGACTTGGGCCATCTTCTGCTGCTTTCCCAGACCATAGCAGAGAGCTGGATCGGAAGTGGAGCAGCGAGGACTAGAACCGGCACCCATATTCACCCTCCCAGTACCTCCCCTCCCCTACTCCCAGTGGCTTCCAGGAATTTGAAACCTGTATCCGGCAGGTCTGTGGGTGCAGCCCAGGGACCCTGACCAAAGGACGACTCAGAGTGACCAGGTCTTGCCTTTCTGAGTCTTACAGATGACAGCAACATTTATTATCATCATCATTATTATTGGAGAGGCAGAGAAGCAGGAAGTGCAAGTGACCTATTTAGCAACAGGATATTCTTGGTGATACGGGTACAGAGGACTTTCTGAGAAGGGGCAGGTGCCAGAACGGAAGGGCTGAGCTCCAAATTTCCTGTGTTCTCTTTTTGTGAAAATATAAACTGTCCTTACGGCAAACTCTCAACGGCCGCACCTGTGAACGGCCCATTTTTATACAGCAAGTACTTCCCAACAGAATTCGATGTACTTTTCAAAATTTTACAGAAGAGCCTATGCTATTTTTTTTTAATTTATCTTGTTTGAAAGGCAGAGAAAGGGGGGGAGAAAGAGGGAGAGGAAGGGAGGGAGGGAGGGGGAGAGAGAGAAAGAGAGAGAGAGAGGGAGAGGTCTTTAATCCCCTGTTTCACTCTCCCTTTGCCCACAACAGCCAGGGCTAGGTCAAGCTGAAGCCAGGAGCTCCATGCAGGTCTCCCATGTGGGTAGCAGGGGCCCAAGTACTTGGACCATCACCTGCTGCCTCCCAGGGTGCATGTTAATGTTAACAGGAAGCTGGAATCAGAAGTGGAGGAGCCAGGACTCCAACCAGGGCTCAGATGAGCTTAAACTCTTGCCTAGAAACCGGAGGAAGTCTGTAGGAGACAGCTCAAACTTTCAGCTCACTCATCAGCAGGAACCGAGCAGACTTTTGCTATTTGTGAACAATGAGTAATGGAATTGAGACCCATGGATGTCAGACGGGACAGTGGAAACCCCTGGCACGTGGCCAGCTTGGTCACCCAGCTCACGTCTCTGACGGTCACGTTTTCTTCGTTGATCCTCAGACCATTCTTGAACTTGGCTCACATTTGATAGCTGCTTTCCATGGAGCATCATATTCATTTTCAATGTGTAGAGCTACTGAATGCACTGACCGCTCTCCAAATGCCCACGATGCCTGGGACCAAAGCAAGGAACTGGGAACTCCACCCAGGTCTCCCACATGAGTGGCAAGGACTAATGACTTGAGCCATCAGCTGCTGCCTCTGAGGGTCCATATTAGCTGGAAGCTGAGCCAGGTACCAAACCCAGGTGCTAGTGTGGGATGCAGGCATCTTGCTGTGGGGATGCAAGCACACAGCTGTGTGGCCAACACACAGTAGGAGCCCTATCAGTGTTCCTTATTATTGGCAGGGAATAAAATGGCTTTGAAATTTGGTTTCAGGGGGACAATGAGAGCCTCCAGCAGCTGAGACATCCACCCCACACTACAGGTCACTGGCACCTTAATGAAAGCTTAGTTTACTACGCATTGTAGTTAACTCCCAACTCATAGTCATCAAAAGAGGGTGGACCACGAAACGAAGCCCACGCGTGGAGTGTCTCATCTTCCAGATCTTTATGCCACTCTCTGATCTCTGCGACACTGCCCTAAGGTTAGTGCTATGCTCGGTGTACCCCCTAGGGCCACAGAGGAACAGACAGCTGAACGACATGCCTAGGGTTAGGGCTGGGATGGGGCTGCTCCCGCTCTAAGCTGTCCATCTGAGAACAGCTAGCTTTACCAACCAGCGCTGAGCTCTGGCTTTGCACCTGCCCCTGGGCCAGGCCCCAGGGCCACAGACAGGTACAGAGCTGGGCCCCACCTCAGGGAGACCGGTACTCCAAGCTCATTGCGTAGCTTTCCTTCTTCATGATTCATCCGTGAGGCAGGTGCATGGGTCTCTCTCACACTCCTGATTCCTGTGCTCTGAGAACAGGGTGCCTTGTGGGCTGCTGTCATGGAAGCTGTGCCACCGCCTCCCAGAATGACCTCCACAGTGTCACATGGTTTGGGAATGGGAAAATTCCATGGGCCAAAGGTCAGCGAGAGAAGAAAGGTGTGAGCTTTCATACATAGGTATTTGGGGTAGCAGTGTAGTCACTGGTTGGGACATCTACATCTTATATTAGACTGTCTGGGTTCTGGGCCCAGGTCTGCTCCTAATTCCAGTTTCCTGTTAATGCATACCTTGGGAGGCAGCAATGGAGACTCAAGTACTTGGGTTCCTGACACCCACATGGGAGACCTGGGTTGGGTTCCAGATTCCTGGCTTCAGTTAGATCCTGCTCCTGCTGTTGCAGGCATCTGGGGAGTAAACCAGTGGATGGAAGCTGGCGCGCTCTCTCTCTCTCTTCTCTCTCTCTCTGTCTGCCCTTCAAGTGAAAAATAAATAAGCATTTTAAAGTAGATAGAACAAATATAGGCATATTTAAGAGAAAACAGGTCGAGGTCTTGGAGGATTGGTTTTTCGTGAACTTATTAAATATGTAATACAAGTCTCTAACTTCGGGGCCCCTCTGCATCGACCTACCTTCGGGACATACCCCAAGTCACTGATCTTCACCAATCAGACCAAGAACAAGGAACTCATGCTGGTCCAAGCCTCACGTCTCCGGGGAGAAAGGAGAATTGGCTCCCTACTGCCCTTCCACATTCCTTGGCTGCGTTGCAGTTCACTAGACAGAAAACAGGATTAACCGGGGAAAAGCCACCGCACCCGGGAGTCCCACGGAACACAAGACTCAAAGCCGAGTCAGACAACTGACTGTTAACCTGAGCTAGAGACAGCCAGGGGCATCTGGAGGAGGGGAGGGGAGGAACCGCAGGCAATCAGAAGCTGTCTGACTGGGCAGGTGCAGTATCCCGGCGATGACAGACATCTCTCCTCCGAGTGGCTACTTCGACTCCTGCAACTTCGCCTTGTGTGTGTACAACCTGTAGCCAAAGGAGAATGTTCCAGAGCACTCCGGCCGTACCTTCTTGAATATTTCATCATTTTTCTTTGCGACAGGCAGAGTGGACAGTGAGAGAGAGAGACAGAGAGACAGGTCTTCCTTTGCTGTTGGTTCACCCTCCAATGGCTGCCGCGGCTGGCGCGCTGCGGCCGGCGCACCGCGCTGATCCGATGGCAGGAGCCAGGAGCCAGGTGCTTCTCCTGGTCTCCCATGGGGTGCAGGGCCCAAGCACCTGGGCCATCCTCCACTGCACTCCCTGGCCACAGCAGAGAGCTGGCCTGGAAGAGGGGCAACCGGGACAGAATCCGGCGCCCCGACCGGGACTAGAACCCGGTGTGCCGGCGCCGCTAGGCGGAGGGTTAGCCTAGTGAGCCGCAGCGCCAGCCCTGGCTGTACTTCTCAGAATAACCAGCATGAATTATGCCACAGAAGTTTATTTGGGGTGGCATATGCTAGTGTCCTACACCCATATTTTGGGGTGCTGTGTCCTGAGCTTCAATATCACCCATCACCCCCATTTGTTAGAACTGCCTCTGAGCTCCAGCCCTGGCATGGGACTCAGGATACCGGAGTTTGCTCCCAAATCCATTTTCTTTGCCACAAGTTCAGACTAATTTCACCGTTATTTTTGCTCTCTCTGCGATCATCAAGGAAAATTTTACTGCCATGAGAATGCAATAAATTCTGACCATAACTTGATCTGCTGTGGAACACTCCTGGGCCGACGTCAAATCTGTTTCATTTCCATCAACAGTATGAAACGCAAAATAATGAAGACTTCCAAGGAGGGCTGTCACAGATGATCACCTGCCTGGGCGTGCTGAGGATGTGGCCAGGCCATAAAGAGGACGAGTTCCATCACGTGACCGCGGCAGGGGCTCCTGTCCCATGAGAATTTGCAGCTTTCTCTGGGGCAGCTCCTTCCTTTCCTGGGTTGTGTTGGCCAAGGAGACAGACTATAGCCATATTCTGTGGGACCATGTGCCTGCATTTTTCAAACCCTACCACTAGGTGGCGTCACATAGCGGTCCAGGCGGGGACCTGCTGGCTCTTCTGTTCACTTCTGTTGAAGGAGATGCTGTCTTTCCGGATGTCAGTCTGAAGGCACCAGTGTCGTCATAAACTATGAGCGCACACATTTGTTAGACTTTTGTTAGCCTGCCTCTGGTGTGTGGGGGGGCTTCAGCTGTGACCCTTTCTAATGGTTGGAAGGGGGCTCGCCCCCATCCTAGGTATCAGAACACCAGCTATGGCCAGAGCTACACCGATCCGAAGCCAGGAGCCAGGAGCTTCCTCCAGGTCTCCCACGCAGGTGCAGGAGCCCAAGGACTTGGGCCATCCTCCACTGCCCTCCCGGGCCACAGCAGAGAGTTGGATCAGAAGTGGAGCAGCCAGGACTTGAACCAGTTCCCATATGGGATGCCGGCACTTCAGGCAGCAGCTCTAGCCACTACGCCACAGCGCCGGCCCCTTCATTAACTCTTACTTCCAGTTCCTGTTCATTTGATCTGGAATGTGTGCTTTGTAAATAAAGTCCAGTGTGGCAATGGAACCTGTTCCAGGATTGGACCATCAGCTCATGCACATTCCCGCCCTCTGCTCCCTCGACTGTCTCCCAGCTCTTAGGCACCTGCTCCCCCCATAACCACCGGGAAGGGCCACCCTGTCTCCCTCCACCAGTGGATACCTGGAAGGGGCATAGAAAGTGCCTTTGCTTTTTAAAATTTTTCTTTATTCTTAACTTATTTGAAAGGCAGAGAGAGAGAGAGAGATCTCATCTACTGTTTTACTCCTCAAATGCTCACAACAACGTGGGCTAGGAGCCAGGGACTCAATTCAAATCTCCCACGTAGATGGCACTGACTCCTGGTTGCCCCACCACCTGCTGCCTTCCCAGGAAGTGGGGGAGCCAGGACTCGAGCCCAGGCACTCTGATGTGGAAAGTGGGTATCCCAAGCAGAGTTTTCCCAGCTATGTCACACGCCCGCCAGAATTCACACTCAGGCTTCCTTAAGTAATAGCATGCAATTGCAGTAGGCAACATAAAAATTACATTTGTGCACAACTAGAAGGAATGTCTCCATGGCGGGGGTCTTTGTTTTGGTCACAGCCACAGGCAGAAGGAACCCCAAGTAGCAAACTCTTCCTAAGGGCCGCCGTTGGCCAAGTTCCTCGTTGGCCTTGGAGGGAAGACTGTGAGGTCAGGTGCACCCAGCTCCTGCAGGCCTCTGAGCTGCGTGGCCCTGGGCAGGAAGGCAGGAAGTCGCAGTGGTGAGCGCTGCTCTGCCTGTCACAGATTTCACAGAAGGCGGGTGCCCCTCGGGTAAGGACTGACCACAGAGCGACAGCAGCCCGAGAGCTGGGCTTGGGTTACATGAACTATCAGGCCCAGGAGCTTGTGACGCATGGAGAGATGGTGACAGGAGTGCCTGGTGGGCACGACACCTGGCCGGGCCCCTCACCGAGTACCACATTTCAATCAGTACATACCCAGTTACAGGCAACCGCCAGAAATAAAGCTTTATGCACACCAACTACCATCTCACCCAGGTATTTCTCCACTGCTGGGG